CAAACAAGGAGACTTAAAGTTATAGCCTATAGGTTCTTAACTGGTAATTTTATTAAATCGTGGGAAATAACCAATTTACAAAACTCTACTGCCCTATCCCACTTTTGAGTTGGTAAATATCTCTGAAACCAGGAGGCTCGAGAGTGTGCTTTGTGCTCACATTGGCGCCCCCAGTTCCCGGCAGTAACTGGAATATACACTCATGATTTCTGTTTTCATATGTAGGCAAGGCAAGGGCACTACAATGCCCTGTTCATGTCCGTCCTCCCTCATTATACAAATATGCCTCATAAATTATAGGCTTTGGCACAGATAGAGGAGGTTGTGTTTATCTGTTATCCATGGGAGTGCCCCTTAATGTCATCAGTGGTTTTTTTTCCCCCTTTCCTTACCATATAAGGGCAGAAGTTTAACTTGGCCATAGTCACTTGGTCTTACACAGCAAGTTGGGTGAAACCTCTGTGTAACTACAGTTTGCGTGAAATAAAAATGCCTGACCTTTGATCATCCCATGTTCCACTGTGGTTCAGGCAGGGCTTTGAAAACATATTCCAGAGGATCACTTTTTAGGCTATCATGTTATTTTCCTACAATTATTTTTTTCTTATTAGTATTAACTAGAATACTTTTTTTTTAAACAAACATCATTGCTATTTTTTTTTTTAGTTGTATTGGCCAAGACATCTGGATTTCATGAAAATGTAGGCCTCGTAAAAGTTTTCTTTCAAATCAGATTTGAAGTAATATTTTGCTGTATTGTGGTGGCCATACCCCTGATTTCCATGTGGTGCCGTGTTGGGTGGGGGGCAGTGGTGGGCCTGCCCTTGTTTTCTGTGTAGGTAGCTAGTACCTTTGGTTTGGGTGAGGGGACAGGGCAGGCGCAACTGCAAAGTACCTGGTGGTTAACAACAGATCTGCAGGAAGATAATTGGTAGCCTTTGCTAATACAGCAGTCTCTTTTCTGAAGAGCTCCTTACATGTTGGGACACAATAGCACTTTTGAAATAAAAGAAACCAGCATCCCAAATTGAAAGACTCTACCAGCAGTGTCAACACATGGGCCCGTTGTTAGAAGAAGCTAACCCAGCACACAAAGGGTGATTTCCATGCCTGGAGATAATCTGCGTCTGGGGTCTAGACCCTTCCCAAAAGCCTTGTTACTTATATGTGCTTTTAAAATAACAGATACTCATTTGACTGTGGGCTTGTACTGGCAGAGGCAGTCGCAGGTTAAATCTTAAGTAGACTGCCCAGGTTCTGTGATGAAAGGAGCCTTAGAGAATACCTAAATAAACCTCAGAACTTAGAAAACACCATAAATAAAAGCTAGTGAAGGTGAGAGATAGGGGCCTTTTGAACACAGGGCAAAATCCTAAATACACACATACACGTGTGCACGCGCGCGCGCACACACGCATGTGCAACTAAAAATAAGAGAGAAGTGCTCTTAATTCATTTGTGGAATAAAACTTAATTTGAATTCTGGGGACCCAAACAGCATTGTGACTATACCAGTATGGTAGGGCCTGAGAAGCCAGTGAGAGTCCAGGTTTTTCCCAGGGAAAGCTTTCATGGGGATAGACTTACCCCAGACACTGCTCTCAGGTCCCCGCTGGAGCCTACAGGCACCTGTGCCTGTCCTGGGAAACCTCAGGGGCAGCAGGTATTGGCTTCCCGGCTTGAGAGCAAATGCTCTGTGTCCATATGGGAGGGGTCACCCGTGAGTGCTATGTGATGAAGTTTTGTTTTGTTTTGTTTTGTTTTAAGATTTTATTTATTTTTTGACAGAGACAGAGAGAGAGGGAACACAGGCAGGGGGAGTGGGAGAGGGAGAAGCAGGCTTCCCGCTGAGCAGGGAGCCTGACGCGGGGCTCGATCCCAGGAACCCTGGGATCATGACCTGAGCCGAAGGCAGACGCTTAACGACTGAGCCACCCAGGCGCCCTTGTGATGAAGTTTTTGATGTAAAACCACACCGTATTTCAGAAAGGACTGAGAGGACTTGTTTAGTGGATGATATTCAGTACAGTAACTCTTCTAGCCCTGGTTGGCCTCTGTCACGGAAGCCTTTCTTTTGTGTGGGGAGTTGTGTTAGGGGAGGCTGTAGAGGACCTCCCACTCTGACATGGGAAGAGAGAAAGCGCCAGAGATCCCTGGAGGCCATGAGAAGTGACAGAGCCCACACACGAGGACCCAGGCAACTGGGGCTTTAGTCTTGTCTCCCACTGATGGCCTGAGCATAGTCAGCCGTCTGGATCAAAGATCCCTCTCCTTTCTTTTGAATGGAGAGCTCAAAGAGTGGTTCCCACAGGATTAGCCAGCTTCTGTGGATGGTGGGGCGGGGAAGGGGCAGGAATGGAACAGGTTGCTTATTTATATTGCAGATGCCTGCCCTCCCTTCTGACCTCCTGAATCAGAATCTCTAGGAATCGAGCCTAGAACTTTGCATTATTAATGCGCACCTCCTAGTGGATGCTGACACTCAGCCAGTTGTGGGAACTGCTGAATGATGCCTAGGGACTCTTCCAGCTAAACAGATGAGACCCCATTTTGTGACCCACCCCTATGTCTGCTCTCTGTGTGCGAACGGGCCTAGCTCCTAGAATGGACCTCCATTCCCAGTTGTGGCTTGTGTGCCCTATATGAAACCCTGTATGAGGCCCTATAGGACACAACCCATAATGTCAGGAAGTCTAAGTTTCTGTAACATGCCCCCAGGGAAAGAGTTAGTGACATTTATAAAACAGGGTCTAGAACTAAAGGAGGGAATGGTTAGAGTGAGAGGCAATAAGAGGGAAGATACAGGTCGATGTGGTGGACCTCTCAGGCAGGGAGCTCTTGTGTACAGAGGCAGGAACGAGCCTGGGGTACGGTCTCCTTATTCTCTGGTGCCTCAGCCACATGAGGAGCTGGGGGCCTAGACTGCCCCGTCACCCAGAAGGTCCTTTCCTTAGAGCAGAAGCAGTCTTCTTTCTGTGAGTAGGAAGTTCTCAAGATTGGGGCCCAGATGAAACACGAAGCAGAAACTTAGAATTGTGGTGGCTACAAGAAAACATTTGGAAAATCTTGTTGACATTTCTCTGGCCATAGCGCCTGTAACAAAGATATTTGCCTTCATATTAAAAGAAATAATAAAGAAGGCGGGGAGAAAAATACTTTTGAGTACATGACATAGACATTCTACTATGGTATTTTTGTTTTTGTTGTTCATTTTTGTTTTCAACTTTGCAACTTGCTTGCTAATCTCCCCCCCCGCCCCCCCACCCCGTTCATAAAGGGAATAGAATTTTACTAGAAATGGAAAATACAGAAAAGTGAACAAAGCAGACCTGACCCAAAGTGTACCCTAAATGTACCAATTTTTAAAAAATAGAGCTAAAAAGACAGTTCCTTGTATGTAAGAAATGTATTGTCCCTATTACCCTCACCCCTCCTCTAGAAAAAACCATACTCACCAGCTGGTCAGACTTAGCAGAACCCAGTAAGGATTTACCTTGTAGGCCAATGTGGTTGTAAACTGTCGTCCTCGGATCCGTTTCCCTTTTCCCCTATTCCCTGACTCTGTCAGCCAATTATTACTACATAATTAATTTTTGATGAGATAAAAGTGTATTTGAATTTTTTATAGAGTCCTTCACCATGGTTGGAGATGCCCTAATCACCTCTTTTCCAGACAGAACTTGGCATTTGAAATTTTACAAATCCTGATGAGCAAAGAGCTGCATGTTCTCATATTCATTTCATTCAAGGCCATAATCACAGCCTCTCTCTAACTACATGTGCCTCTCAAACCGTGTTCGTCATGGGTCCATGAGCTAAGAAAGTTGCTTTGTTTAAATTAGGTTGATTTTACTTGTTTTATTCAGTAGACATTTACTGAGCCCATATTGTGTGCAGAGAACTGTGACTCCCTACATGTAAGAGGCTTCCTATTGAGTAAAGAAGACAGGAATATAGATAGAAATCACATGGGTGCCTAAGTATGTATGTATTGTAATTTTTAGAAAATTCTCAAGTGCCCTGAAAACCTTATCACCCCATGATAAGCACATACTCAAAGTGGATGCGGATGAGGAAATGGTACCTGATTAGTAAGTGCTTGCTGACTTCCATGCATAGTATTTAAACAGACCCTAATGCAGTGCATATGAGGGACTATCACAGTCTTACAAGTGTTCTGAGGCTCATAGTAGCAAGCGCTTGTAATAGTAGGTAATCATTGCATCCCCAAAAAAGAAACATCTTAATTCAGATACAGATACCAATAAAAGTAGTCTCTATACTGCTTTTCTTCTAAGGAGTTTGAAACTTTCCTTGTAGTAACCTTGTAAGAAATGCCAGTAAGCTTATCTCAAAAATACACGGGAAATTTGTCTTGGCCCTGCTCCAGCATGACCAAGTTCTGCAGGGGTCACTGAGAAGAGGGTGGGGGAGGGGCGGTTACTGGATTTCGTTGCATCTGTATGGTGTGTATCTTAGAACAGCTGAATTTTTAAACATTTTAGTTCCTTTATAAGACTCCTTTGAGCAAGTGGCCAGGAGAAAGGAGAATGCAGACCCCTGAGTCTGGTTTCTGGCTGTCCTGCTCTTGTCTTGTGCGGCCGAGCCGGGGTAAGTCTCGCCTCTGTCCAGCCCTCGCGCCCCGGTGAGTGAGGTGGCTGTCCTGAAGCGCTCCTTGGGCAGTCGGGTAGGGCCAGTGTGGAGTTCTGTGGAAGAAAGGAAGCCAGTGAGAGAGCACTTGCTCACAGTCCCTCTGGCCGCTGAAAATGGTGCGTGTAGACTTGTAGACACACGAGTGTGTGCCTTCACTGTATCAAATCCACGGAGCCACGCCTCCGAGAACTCCAGAGCGGACCGGGGCGTGTGGTGCACCTGGAGGTAGCTCCCCACAGGGCCAGGCTTCCTGTCTGAAATCGGTGTTTCAGGCCCCGCCACTTCCTGAAGGCACTGCCCTCGCTCGCTCTCCTGGTCTGAAGCACCTTTCACTCTCTTCTGCCTAGGCTGAAGCCGACGTAGCTTCTCTGAACAGACGCATCCAGCTGGTTGAGGAAGAGTTGGATCGTGCCCAAGAGCGACTGGCAACAGCTTTGCAGAAGCTGGAGGAGGCTGAGAAGGCCGCGGACGAGAGCGAGAGGTGAGCGCACCTCTCCCGGCCCACCTTTCCGCACCGGCCTCTCCTTCGGGTGCGACGGGGGGCTTCCCTGATCTTTGGGGCTTAAGAGTTTTAGAGTCCCGTGGTGGGATCATTTCCTCAGTCGATCCCAGGTATAACTTTGCTAGGTTTGTTCGTTTAACATGAGTGGGACACCTGTGTGCCAAGCGCTGTTCTAAACCCCAAGGTTACAAAGAAGAGAAAGATCCTATTCCTGCTCTCATAGAGCTCACCGTCCAGCGAAGGAGAGGGACATTAAAATGAGATATTCTAGGGATGCCTATCGGTTCCTTCATTCCTGCTGACCATAGAGCAGTTAGGCATTTTTTAAAAGATAAACTTTATTTGAAAATATGCAAAGGAGACTGGGCCTATCAGTTGTCAAATAACTCAAAAAATAAGTGGAAGAGGAAGCACAGATAAAACAGAAATATGATCTGTGAAAGTAATTGTTTTGGACGTAGTAACACTGATAAGACACTCATGCACATCAATACAGTCGGATACTTGTGTATTCTGAGCCCGCTCCCTGTAACCTGGCTCTACCGGACTGACTTCTCTAAGATTCAGTGTTGTGGTAGTAAAGGAAAACCATGGCCATATAGCCCAGCACAACTCCATGTGTTCTAGAAGGCATTTTCTCGTGTGCTCAGCCTCTCAAGCTCGTGTATTCATATTGCACAGAAGCATTCCAGGAACAACTCCACGAGACTAGAGAGTTCTCCTGCTGGAGGGCTGAGAGAGTAGTGTGGTGGCTCAGAACGCTGGGAGTGCGGATCCGTGCTGTGACCCGGGCAGGTGAATGCAGTCAATCACTCTTTCCATTTCTCCCTCTTGGATAGAAGTGAGTTTCTGCTCCCTGCCACCAGGGATAAAGAGTGATTTCGGACGAAGATTCAAGAAGCTTTCAAGCTAAAGTTTCCAGCTCATTATTCACTGTTGCTTATTGTTTCTTCCCTAACCAAGAGTTTTGGAATTCCTTCGGATGACTCATCATCTCTTACAGTACACACATACCAGTGGTTTTGTGGCTGATTGTTCCTGAAATATACTTGTTAGTGAACCTAAAAGGCAATCTGGCAATGTTAGACTTGGTAGTAAAAAGGAATTTAGAGGTTGTTTACCCCAGGCCCCTCATTTTACAAATGAGAAAACAAGGACTTAGCAGTTGATGAGGCCTGCCCAGAGTCTCACAGCGAATTGATGGCCAAGCCAAGACTCAAATCTCAGTCTTCTAATATATACCGTAGCGCTTCATCAAAAAATAGTGGTTTATTTATCTGAACTGTCTGCTTAGATTTTGCTAAATGAATCCCATTTTAACATGACTTTATCCATAAAACTGTAATATATCACAGAACAATTAACATTTTCCAAAACTTAACACCGTGGGATCCAAACGTACATATCAGCATAGACATTGGTATCAGTCCGTTTCTCAACACCTCTAGTATGAAAGAATTCTATTAAAGGCAAAATTCATAGTTTCTTATCTAAAGTATTAGGTTGACCCTTATGAAATTGCCATTTTTACAGGTCTGATGTCATCAAGTATCAGCAATTTCATATGGTTCAATCTGATACTTACATTTGCAGCTAATGGGCTAAGAATAGCTACCTGCTTTGTAGGAAGAAGTACATGAGGACACATTTGTTTTTGTTATAGCTTTGGTCCATTTTCAAGCTGAAGCTTCCCACCAGGAAAAGGAAAAAATCCCGTTATTTATATAGCAAGTAAAGTATGTTGGCTTTTCCTGTTTCCATGCCTCCCAGTTTCAAACAGCATCCTGACATGGTACCTTTCATTTAACATTAGATCCCTGGACAGTTTCACCAGTATTGAAAGTGAGGGTTCATTCACAATAAACAGAGATGTGTGGCTTTTTCTGTCTTCAGCTCTGGAAACTCTTGCTTCATGGTTTGGAAAGTAAAAGCAGCTCTGTGCTCTCTTTGGGTCTGCCAGTTATACCAAGCTTCACAAACCAGTGCAGTGCAGTATGGGTTTATGTTGGTTTCCTCTAAACCTTGGGTCTTCCTGCTTGTCTTCCTTTTCAGAGGCATGAAAGTCATTGAAAGTCGAGCCCAAAAGGATGAGGAGAAAATGGAAATTCAGGAGATCCAACTGAAAGAGGCCAAGCACATTGCTGAAGATGCCGACCGCAAGTATGAAGAGGTCAGATCTTGGGGCCCAAAGCCTCATGGACTTCCCAGCAGTGGCCTCGGTGGGGGCCAGGAGCAGTGCTTACAGCCTTGTGTTCTTTAGTGAAACGATCTGCTTTGTTGGTGGAAATGGGTGGTTTTGAGAAGGCAGAGTTCCTCTGTCTCCAGAAAACAGTTCTGATTTGATCCTGCTAAGGGATCCCAGGCTTTATCATGAAGCCAGTCCATAGCACTGAGAAGGACTGAAGCTTCCCCCATGATCCCCCACCTTGGCCACCCCCAGGCCAGGACAAAAGACCTCTGGCGAGGAGAAGGGAGAGTTGGGCCTCTTGTCCCTTGTGGAAAGAGCCTCTCGTATTGTCACCGTGCAGGCCACTCTTCGGTGTGATTCGCCTAGCACCACCCTGTTCACACAGCATAGAGACACGGTCCATGCACTGAAGGCCGTGTAGGGTCAAGAGGCCCTTTTCAGTCCATCCTCTCTTCAAGATGGTAGAATCCCACTGTCAAGAGAGGTTCACCAGTGAATCAGCTTCTGGTCATGTCCCCATGAGAACGATGTCCTATGATAACAAAGCTAATATGACTTGTTTTAGTTTTCCCTTAATGTATCATGGCTATCTTGAAATGGTATTGACACTACTTTTTTCCATCATCATCATTATTGTGATTACGACCACCCCATTATTATTATTATTACTCTCCTTGAAACGCTCCGAGGACCCCTTCTTCCCCCAGGTTCTTTCCCCCACTGAACACCGACTTGACTTCATTAGTCACCTTACCAGCCCATCCCATGTTAGTTTCTGCTGCTGTTCTGGTGTCATTTTTAACCTCCTCCACAAAGAGGAGGTTGAGGTACAGAGCTCTAAATTGACAGAGTTCTCAGGAGTATTTTCAGTGTTTTTTGGCAGCCCCTACCTTTACAGCATCAAATGCAGCATGTCTCAGCATGCTGCTATTTTTGAGATTGTGAATTTTATATCTCTCCCTCCTTCCACACTTTGGCTGGCTGCTGTGTAATTATATGGACTTCATCTGGGTCAGACTTAAAATGAGACTGCCTACTCACAACCAACCATTCTGGTCTTTGTGAGCAGAAGCCTCTGGTCTACTCTCCATTGGCCCTCCTGGTAAAGAGTGGCTTCTCTCCAGCCCACGAGAAAAAGGGCCATCTGATTTGTCCGTAAGAACGTCTAGGGGCTGGTGGATCCAGTACCCGCCTCCATACCCTGCCCCCTTACTTAACGCTTGCCAGCCCCATGGTGTGTGTGTGTGTGTGTGTGTTGTGTTTGTCGTGCTGCAGGTGGCCCGTAAGCTGGTCATCATCGAGAGTGACCTGGAACGCGCGGAGGAGCGGGCTGAGCTCTCAGAAAGGTAGGCGGGCCCGGTGCCGGTGTCCTGTGTGTGGGGTGCTCCAGAGCAGTGACTAAACAGCATGACCTTCTGGCAGCTGCACATTTACCTGTTTCAGCTCCGGGCTCCTTCTGCACTCATCTGCCACGGATGAGCTGCGAGTATGGAACACGGAGGACTTGTGTGGGGTGTCTGTATGAATGCGTGTATCACTGCATGCCTTCCCTGCACACTGATTTTGAGAATGGCCTTGTGCATTTCCTGTGTCCACTAACAGCCAAGTTCGACAGCTGGAAGAACAATTAAGAATAATGGATCAGACCTTGAAAGCATTAATGGCTGCAGAGGATAAGGTACTGATGGCTCATGTGTGGTTTTAGGTTTAACTGCAACCCAGACGTCTTTCAGCTTCCAGTGTCTACTGGTTCGTTTGGTATAACGACACCCTCTGCTGTCTTCTATCTTGCTTTAAATGCTTTCTTTGGGTCCTTTATACTCCTTTGTTTTTCCTTCATAAATGCTCTTTGGTGCAGCCAAAAAAAGAAGCCAAATTATCACACTTCAGGATTGTTGGATTTTGTCACCCTGCCTTGGTGCTGTTGCAAGGTTGGGGGCAGTGTCCTTGGCAAAATGGAACGTTTTAATACCTGACGATTTGGCTACTTTAAGGCAGCCCTTTGTTCTCTAGGACTCAGTTCTCACTTTTTCCCATCCCTCTCCTTTTTCTCTCCTCCTTCCTTGGGCTTGTCTCCCATCCTTTCTGCCTCTGATCGAAAACGTTAGCAAATGTGCCGAGCTTGAAGAAGAATTGAAAACTGTGACGAACAACTTGAAGTCACTGGAGGCTCAGGCTGAGAAGGTAGGCCAGGAGCACGGTGTGGGGGAAAGGCGTCTCGTAGGAGCTGCTCAAAAAGCACGCACTCTTTCTCGTCTGAGGCCCCGCCGATGAAAGCAGGAGTCCCTTAGGCATTTTATTTAGCAAATGGCATCATTGTGAGGTGATTTCTTGATGGTTATTGGATAACAGATTCTTTTTTTTTTCTTTTACTAGAGAACATATTTTATGTTGAGTATGGGAGTCCGTCAGCAACAATTCAATTTAAACCAAGCGCCACGTGGCCGAGTTATCTTGTTCTTATCCCATGTAAAACGATAGGGCAAGAGAACAGAGAATGTATTGTAGCGTGCCATTTGGTATCAGAGGCTCCAGTACCTCCTAAGAGATCCTCAGCATCTGTTGCTGGGCTGGCACTTTCTTTGTATTTGAAGACCTGAGGATAGGGTGAGCTGTAGCCTGACATCTGGAATGCTCTTTCTCATTACAGTACTCTCAGAAGGAAGACAAATACGAGGAAGAGATCAAGGTCCTTTCTGACAAGCTGAAGGAGGTAATACTATGAGTGTTTTAGATGAAGCCAACTGGATTTTAACTGAGTCCCGTTTTTATGGAGCTGGTTAGGGCTGCTTCGTCTCAAAAGTGTGGTGAGCCCAGTCAGGAATATTCAAAGGTGGTCCTGGAGTTAATGTGCTATGTTGGTGACGGACTGACAGGCCGTCTGTTCCAGACCCATTTTGTGGGTGCTTTGCTTGACTTTCATTCACTAGCTCTCCCTATATTTGTAGCTACTAGCGATGTAAAACTTCCCAATTCTGACTGAAATAAATGGCATCCTTACAGGCCGAGACTCGGGCTGAGTTTGCGGAGAGGTCAGTAACTAAGTTGGAGAAAAGCATTGATGACTTAGAAGGTAAGATCTTAAGTTTTATTTTTTAGTTAGTTCTTATGGTTGACTACTGACCTCGCAAAGCAGTTTTCCAATCCAAATGCATCCTCCTTGATACACTTCTTTGCTCTTGCACATTCTTCCTGTCTGCCCTTTGGGGTTTTCATTCTGTGGCTCCTAAACTCTTGAACCTGAGTCCTCTGCTCACCAGATGACTGCTAGCCACTAGACGAGGCCTGTCTCTCTGTAATGGCAGATGCCATCCGGCTTGACTTCACACTCTGAGAAGTGTGGCGGGTTTATTTGTCATTGTGGGTGAGATGGTTGTAGGTGAGAGCAACTAGCGTATTTTCTACTCAGTGATACCTCCTAATTGTCAGAGTGGCATGGATTTGTTTTTAGACACAACTCATCTTCCAAGTAAGAATCCAATGTAAGGGTTGGGTTTAAGCCCTTCATATCTTGGCAAGTGCTCCACATTCTGAAAGGGGTGTGGGGATAATAGGATATTGTTGTTTGAGATTATATTTAAGCCTTTCTCCCCTAAGGTGTGTAGGTTTTGTTTTAGTAACACCCACCTTTGTCTCACAGAAATCCTAAATGTTGAACTTTGAGGCGTGTGGAGGGTCAGCTATGAAAAAGAACAGTCAGGAAAATATTTAAAATGGACAAGAAAGGCAGAAGGGGCTGGTGAAGGCACCGGACGTTGGTGCTGATGATAACCAAGCTGGTGGGGAAGAGAGGGTGACAGATGGTTGCAAAACAATCTGCCAGAGTGCAGCAAAGAATGAAACCCTCCTCATTACAGAGACTAAACTGGAGACTTGGCACAGCACCACCCTAAACATGTGGCTCCCCGCGCTTCTCAGGCCCCCCAGGCCAGGAGCAGGGTAGCTTAGCAATTCACAGGGCACTCAGAAACCAATATCCCAGGAGGCTAGTTTGGTCAGGAAGTCAGTGGTTGGAAGGCGGAGCCAGATCAGGATGACAGACCAGAGACACAAATTGTTCTTCCAAAACACTGCCCTTGGATATTTTCCCCACTGTTTATAGTCGCAGGTGGCTGACTGCTCCAGTGCCATGAAAATGGAGCTATAGACGGGAGAGGTGTGCTGTCACCTAACCCAGCTGACAGCCTTCTGTGGTTTCATTTAGGGTTTAACATGGTTTACTGCTCTACCAACCATATTTGTGATGATTTTCATATTGGATCTTTCTTGTTTTATTTTCTAATGGCTTTTGTTCTTTTTGTTTTTGTTTCAATTCATTTAAAAACAAAACGCACGCCTCCTGCATTGGCCACCTGCTGCGATACCACTTCCTTCATGCACTGCCCCTTTCTTGCTGCTGTGTCGGGATGGCGTCCGCGCCACCCCTGCTCACCCTCCATCTCTTGATCACTCTCCATGCCCTTGCACCTCTGCCTTCCACTTCCTGGTCATAGACGAGCTGTACGCTCAGAAACTGAAGTACAAAGCCATCAGCGAGGAGCTGGACCACGCTCTCAACGATATGACTTCCATGTAAATGTCATCCACCCTGCCTGCTCACGTCCGTGCCCTCATGCTAATACGATAAACTCACCACTGCTCCCTTCTGTACTTCCAGAAGCTCCATCTTCACACCTTTCTGTTTACTCTCTTTGCATCACCTAGGATAGTTTGGTTTTGTTCACATTCTACTAATATAAAAGCCAAGCAGATTAAGTCTCTCTGTACAAATCATTTTCCTTTCAGAATCTGTTTCTTTCACAATCTCTGAGCTAGATTGTTCCCACCAAGCAGTGAACTGAAATATGAAGGACTTGAGAGCTACCCTTTTAGGAAATCAAACTAGGCTCAAGTAAAATTGAAGGCCATGCCATCGTGCACAAACTTCGCCAGAAATATCCAAAAAATTGGTATCCTGAGATTCAGTTAAATACAATATGACCATTTTTGTAAAAGATCTGTAAATTTAAGGAACCCTAAAGTTCCTTAAGTCCAGTTATTGATGATCTGAGAGGAAATTGATCTGGTACAGCCTAAGAAATGGTGCTGTGAGAGATCATCTCTTCCTCGCTTTTAAGAATTCTGGAGAGAAGTGGTTCATCTGCTGAATACCAGAGCCTTTAATTTTCTGTGTTTAGATAAAAGGAATTGAAATATTCACAATGAACACCACAACTGGTGTCAAAGAATTGGGAAATAAAACCCTGATTGCCCAGTATGAGTTCGGGAGTTAATGCCCACTTTTAACTGCACGAGGCAGTGAGAGTTGGAGTAGATCCCTTGTTCTCATGAGAGCTTTGAGCATACACAACTAATCCGCATATTGCTAACTAAACCTAAGCATCACACTTTTCTGCCTCTTTAAATTCTAACCTGGAGCTTTCCACAGAGGGTTCCCTTCGTTCTAATAATATGGCACTGAATTCCATGTAAGCTGGAAATTTGCAGACCCACCTATGCAGGGAAATGGTAGCCTGAAGGGTGTGGCCTGTCCCTGCCGCCTCACAGGTTCTAGAATCTCCACATCACCATGAGATGCATTGACTGTCCCCATGGAAAGTAAAGAGAATTCCATGCTCCTTTCCCTCATTTGTAAATGCGGAATGAATCAGAACCGCTGTCTCTAAGGTCTTTTCCAGTGCTGAAATGTGGTGATTCTAAAAGGAAAACTCGTAACATTGTGTACAATTAACTATTCTGAAAGGTGGGTTAGCTTAAAGTCTGTTCTTAAACTCTGTTCTTGGGTCTTCTTGGCAACGGCCCCTCGCCCGGAGGGTCGTATGCTGGCCTTGGGTCCCAATGCTGGTGGGTGAGGATGAGCATCCTCCTGCAGGTGCGGCTGGCAGCGGGTTTTGCATGTCTGCTTCTGGTCTGTGTGTCAGGTGCTGCTCTCCTCTGTTAGTTTGATTTTCCTTTTTTCCATTGTGCCACTTTGTTTTCTTTTTCTCCCACCTTTTCTCCTCATGCAGATAAGTTTCTTTGCTTCACTTCTCCCGAGACCCCTTCATCAAGCTGGCTGTCCCACCTCTCTGAGCTCTGCAGTTTGTCTCTTCTCCAGCTGACCTGGCTCGTTCCTTTAGCCTCCTGCCTCAGGGCCAGGCACACTGCTTTCCATTGTACAGAAGCTCTTCATTTCAGTGTCAAATAAACACTGTGCAAGCTGTTTCTGTTTGCTCTTCTCTTTACTTTTTTATTGACATTTTTTGTTTCAACACTGAATAAAACTACAAATCTACTTCACACATATGAGGGTTAGTTTTTGGCTGCTCCCCCCATGCTGAACATTAATATTAAAAGTTTCTAAAGCAGTAGTTCCATACGGAACTTTTAAAAAATACTCATGCGTGGGTCCCTCTCAGAGTTTTGGTTTGTAAAGTTTAGAATGAGGCCCGGGCATCTCGGTGGGGGTGGGGGGGGGGGTTGTTTTGTGTTTTTGAGAGGGTGATGGTTCTGATATATAATCCTCATTGAGAACATCCGCACAGGGGACATTGCTTGCTGAAGTGAGAAGATGTGCCTTGAACAGTGTCTTCCTCTGCCAGAGGTTTGGTGTGGGATGTGGTGAGCCCCCTGTGTGGATGCTGAGGTGGCCCTGCTTGCCGGGACATGACTAACTAGCGGCCCACACTGCCAAGAATTCACATACCGGGATCTCAAAAAATTACTTGTGTCCTGACGGTGGTAGTTGAGGTTATTGTTGGTCATTCTTTTACAGCCCAAAGAACCATTAAAGCTTTTTAAAAGTATATTCGTTACTCAGCCACCTTCATTTTGATCATGAAATGACATCTTAAGTTTGTTGGTTTTTTTTTGAAGATTTTATTTATTTATTGGAGAAAGAGCAAGAGCACGAGCTGTGGGGAGGGGCAGAGGGAGAAGCAGGCTTCCCGCTGAGCAGGGAGCCCAACTCAGGGCTCGATCCCGGGACCCCAGGATCATGACCTAAGCTGAAGGCAGACGCTTAACTCACTAAGCCACCGAGGCACCCCTTAGTTTTCTAAATATGATAACATTTAAGTCGAGGTTCATTTTTGTGCCCTTAAGGACATCACGTATTTTTTAGGAGGGTTTGTATGTACATAATCTTTGTGATATCCTTCATTTGTAGGCATTTTTAAAGATAGCCGTTGGAGTTTATTCTTTTTTTTTTTTTTTTCTTTTCCCTAAAAGCAAAGTTAGTAGAAATTGTTCAGAATAGAGTTATATTTTATTTAGGTTTTACTGGTTCACTTCAAAAATAGCAGCCAAGTGATTTTCAAAGAGAAACACATTTCAAAATTAGAACTTTAAAATGATATGGACTTTTGTTTCTTAATTCCCAGCATTTCTGCATCCTCAACAGTCTGGCTCTATTTCTCCTGTGCTTTAAATGTGGGTGATTTTCATCTGTTTTTGTTAGTATGAGAGAGTTGATATATACCACTATACTCAAATAAATTTAGACAAACTGAAAATAATGTCATTCACTCTACAAAGACTTCAGAGCAGAAGAAAAATAGTCTTTTTAAGAGGACAACAAATTAAAGTATTTTAATAGTGTTACAGTAGGCTCTCTAAAATTTAGAATCTGGAGTCACTGTCTCTCCCTTGAGAGTGTAGACTTCTATAATTTCATGGATTTTTTTTTTCCCCTAAGCCTCATTGGGTCTGCTTTTGACTATGATTCCTGTCCTTTTTTTTTAAATTCCTAGTGATAGAAGTGGGCCCTTCTTTGAGTGACCCTGTTTCCTGCTATAGACAAAATGAGGAGTCTAAAAGTTCTGAGCAGATGTGCCGTTAATTCTGGAGGCACGTTTTTTTTTTCTTTTTTGGAAACCCTTCTAGAGACTTTCACACTTTCTATGTAAGAACGTTCTACAAGGGAAATGGGAAACTAACGGTTTAGGAAGGCAAATCTAGACGAGCCCCAGAAGGTATGGGTTCACAAGAGGATCAATAGCGACTTGATTGTGTCCAGAAACTGTCAGGGCCCAGGTTTCTAGTTCAGAAGGCCAAACCATAGCTGTTGCTACTGCAAGAACCTGGTAGGATCAAACAAAGCACTGCTGAATCTGGGCCCTAGAGGTTCCAGATGTCTGGGAGGTAGGACAGGAGGGGAAAACCCTTCCAAATGTGTAACTGTTTCTGGTCCCTGCCCTCAGGCCCCCCGGGCAGACAAGCTCCATGGCAGCTGCAGTGGAGCAGGTCCAAAGGCGGGGTGTGGTAGGAACATCTGTCATTTTAGCTGAGTTCACATCGACTCTGTGGGTTCTCCAGGGTTTCCCTAAAGTTCTTTCATTCCAGTTTGGCTGGACATGGACTCAGCAAACAGACATCCTGCCTGCCCATGGCGATCACCCCACATGCGGTAATGGGAATGTGCCGGTGGGGTTTAGCTTTGCAACCCCAGAGCCACATCCCTTACACAAGACACTATGGAAGGCAGTGGAGATGTGAAGAGATGAGCCAGAAGTGTTCTTTGCCCCTGATGAGCTGACCGCCTTGTTGGAAGGTAGAGTGAAGCGTGTCTGAACTCATAGATGGTGTACACTTGGAGCTACATGGAGAAGGCGACATTTGACTAGTGTTTTGAATATCCAGAGAATGTGAATGAGCAAAGAGGACAAGGTAGCAGATACTTCGAGCTAGAAAGCCTAGTGCATATGGCATCTTCCCCCCATCTCCTACCACTTAAAGAGAGGGAGCTGAAATAAGACTTGATTAATTTCCTGACACACCTGGGGGCCAGAGGCTGGATGGTTGCCTTCTCCCCAGGGGTAGGATTGTCAGCTTTTCAAGATAAGTAGAATTTCTGGGTCCAGGTTGTCATTGTCATTCGAACCAGTTGTATATCCTCCTGCTTTTCATGGTAAGTGCCAGTTTCTTGTCATTTTGGCGGCATCCCCTGGGCCATCAGATACAGCCTGACACCTGTGGTTGGCCTCCCTGCCATGTGAGCAGATTGTATGCCCTTGTGTAAAATTGACATTGCACTGCTCTCCCTGTGGATGTTTGAGATCTTGTTGACTCTCTACACCTCCATCTCGCACCATGCATGAATGCCATTCTCTTCAAGAAGTAAGCAAATGAGTTTTAAGTCGGTTTCGTGTGGAGATGAGTGCTTGTTGGTTTTGCTGTTTGAGTAGAGTAGCACCCTGTATGGTGGTGACTGGGGGAGGGACAGGGAGCTTAGTTCTGTGTTTGAAGGACTGTAAACGCAGCAGCCACTGGGGGCCCCCCTCTCGGTACTTCCTGAAAGGAAAGCCAGCCCCGGGAGTGCAGATGAAAGTGGTTCTGGGAAGAGGTGGGCAAAATGGGCAGGTTGAGGTTTCACTGTAAGTTCTCCACTATGACGCTCGGGCTGTTGCCAGAAACTGCATGTGGCTCATTCACACAGTGGTTTTAGTAAGGTGCAGGAGGAGCATCTCCCCTCTCTGTCTCTCTCCCTCGCCCCTGTCACTCCCTTTCCCTCCGCGGCCACCGAGAGAAAAATTCTGGCTCTTCCTAAGTCTGCCAGGCCTTTACTGCCCACCCTGCCTGGGCGCGGGACAGCTGACCACCGGGGAAGGGTGAGCTGCTCGGCAGGTGACCCAAGGTATCTCTGTGTGCTGTCTGTTAACTCCTTTACCAAGTCTGGCTAACCTCTCTTCCTTCTGCCTCCTCTCTTCTGCTAACCTGCTTGCTGACCTGTCCAGATCAACTCTACCAGCAACTTGAGCAAAACCGCCGCCTAACTAACCAACTAAAGCTGGCCCTGAATGAGGATTAAACTTAAGTGGGAAAGAGCTTGGGCTGAATTCTAGGAATGGAGGCCATGGGCAGGAAATCTAAGACTGCCATACCTTCAACTAATAGGGCTGAAATCTAAGACTGCCATACCTTCAACTAATAGGGCTGACAACACTTGCTTTCTGCAGAATTGTACATGGAAGGAATTAGCTGAAAAGCTGGCTTCACCTGCATTTTCCTCTTATATCTGGAATAATTAAGTTATCTTTAAACCCCGAAACTGCTTTTGTGGTAAAATTACGTATATGTATATGGATTAAATATTTATAACAATTCAGCAATCGCAGGTCCTCTTGTTTGAACTGATTCTATTTCCTACAGAGAACTGAGTCCTGCTTTAAGTTAGAAAGCCAAAGCAGAGGAGTAACTATACACACATATATATATTATATATGGGATGCAATATGTAATATGTATACACACATAGCTATTACATATTCATATTCCTAACTTCGTAATATCTGGTATAGTGTTTGATTAAATGTACCTATGCTTGGGCAAAATAGCTTTTGAAAACAGGAGCTCATGTCAGAAGTCCCTGATTGTCTGAAAGGTATGCTTTTATTCCGTCTAGTGGTGTTGTTGGAACCTGGTGAGAATGTCATGCTAATAATAAATAGAACACTATAAGAATAGTAAGAGAATGTCCTACTGAAGTGTGCATGAAATATATTGATACTCATTTTTTTTAATGAGCAGCAGAAATAAATCGTTTTAAAAGTTGTCAGAAAGCCTACTTATGTCATCTTTGTCTTCTGTGAGATTGTGTTACAACACAGCTCCCAGACCTTTACCTGCCTGTAAGTCAGAAATGTCTGCTGTATTAACTGCAGTGCTGCAGGTACCCGTCCCTGTCCCCACGGCGTACGGCCCGTGGACCTCCGCCAAGCCCCACCTGCGCTTTATTCTGAGTGGACCCTTGGTGAAGGTTCAGCCGACCGCTCTGTGAGAGCCTGCTGTGCCTGTAGTTCCTTTGGGTCAAAGGCGTCTTCCCCCTTTGTGGGTCCTTGTCTGGAAATGAGTAATACCTCACCAGCATGCCTGTCCTAATCATTTCATCTTTGTTTGTGACTGATGTTTGCCTGCCTAAATGTACAAATCGCCGCTGTGTCCAAAGTGCAGCTATTCATGACTTAATTTTCTAATCCCACCACAGAGAAAGTGGCTCATGCCAAAGAAGAAAACCTTAGTATGCATCAGATGCTGGATCAGACTTTACTGGAGTTAAACAACATGTGAAAACCTCCTTAGCTGCGACCACATTCTTTCATGTTGTTTTGTTGTTTTGTTTTGTTTTGTTTTGTTTGGAAACACCATGCTTACCATAAAACCCCTTAAACGCATTTTTATTTACTTTTACACTGTCACAGAAAAACAGCCACGAAATACCAGCTAGATCAGGGGATGGGGAAGACACACACATACACACACACACACACACACACACACACGCGCGCGCGCGCGCATGCGCGCAAACCCATGGCAGGGCCGTAATGACTTAAATGTGCCATTTCCCAGGTTGCCGTTGCCACACTTCATAGAGAGTTTTGCAACCCAGTGTACTCAGCCAGTCCAGGAATCCTCACTAAAGCGGAAAGATTTCCACTCAAAGTGCCAACGATGTATTCAACAGGCAGATTAATGATGAAAACGCAATCAGGCGTGGATTGGTGCTACTTTAAACAAAAAGTCCCACTGTGGTCTTTCGTTCAATATTGTACAATTTAGAATTCTGTCCAACACTAATTTATTTTGTCTTGAGTTTTACTATGAGATGAGTCTGTGGGTCCTGTATGCCTGAATTCACTAAGGCCAAGGGTTTGTAAGGCACGCTGCTCTTGTAAGACTTTTATCTCCTTCTCGTTGGCACACTTGTGGCTCGTTACAACTTGTAGGATAGCATTCGATGTGGATTTCCACTCTCCATTTCTCCATGTTAAAGATTTAGGCACTACGTACAATTGGTAAAGAAACATTTTCTTAAGAGTTATAACTCTATGTAAACATTGTATAATGGTATGGAATAAAATGCACATTGTAGGACATTTTCTAAATTTGGTGGTCCTGTCATTTGTACCTTTTTACTTTGTGAACTTCGGGTGGTGTGGTTGACCTACCTTCCCTCATGAATGGTTTCTTAAAACAGTATCCAGAGATTGGGGGAAGCTGGGTTTTGTGTGTCATCCTCCCCCCATCACTCCAGGTGGCATCCCTTAGGTCTGTTACAGTTACAACCCAGCAGGAAAGACCCTTTCCAAAAGCCTTTCTCCATGTTACGGGCGCCTATCTGCACACACACAAAGGTTTTTGCAGGGGTTGTACTGTTTGGGGGATTCTCCCTTGAGTCTTAGCTAAGTCTTTAGCCCACACACATCAGATCGTGAGTGAATGCACCAAGCGAGCTCTTGTCCCCCAGCCATGTGACTCTACTTAAAAGTATTGCTCTATAGGGTCTCTGTGATTTTCTGCTTTTGCACTCCTGCTGAGTTCTGAATTCCCACACATCTTCATTCTCTCCAACTTGGAAACTGAAAATACCACCGGTCACTCTTGAAGACTTGAAGCAAACAAAAGGAGATTACAAACAATCAGTTGGCCAAACTTGGGCTGCAGGGCAAAAAAGGATGTTCTCTTGAAAAGTGAACGCAGTTGACTGGAAATAAACGAAAACTCATTTGGATGACAGATAATGTTTTCACTAAAAAGGATTAAATATATCTGTAGGTATTCTTCCAAGCCCTCTGATCAGGCATTTTTCTCTCCACAGAAGGGAAGAGCGTATAAGGCAAAGAAGCCTGGAGGCCAGGCTTGCGGGTTCCCGCTTCTAAAAACGGTCCCCTTTCTCGAGGCAAAGAAACACTCTGGGTCTCCCCTTGTCTTCAGCACCCCTAGGCTCCCCGCTGCCTGTCCTCAGCTAGACCAAGAGTGCCTCTCTGCCTCACTGTAGTCACAGAAGCCTTGAACCCAGCACCCTTTGACTTTGGGAGCCAGGTCTGGCTTCCCCTTCACTAGCTGCCTAGCCCGTCAAGTCCCTCAATCTGAGATTCTTCATCTATGAAATGGGGACGAGATTAGCACGTAGCTCCCAGGGTATTACCACGGGACTGGAATGTATCACCCATGTCATAAAGCACAGCACCTGGGACATGCTTGATAACCATCAACTGCCTCTGTCCTCATGCCACGTGTGCTCCAGAGACCACCGCGAAGGGCCTTCAGCGAGCCGCCACCACCTGACTCGGTGGAGCTGGGCCAACACCTCGCCCCCCATGACGATGTTTAGTAATACTGTTCTCAGAGACCATACGCCAGAACCTGTCAGAAATGCCTCACAGGGGTTCTCTCAGCTTCCTGTCAGTCCCCGTTTCATTAACGGAGACCGAGGCTTTGACAGTCCATGAAACTACTCAGTCCTGTGGCTCCCGGGGAGTGGGGTCGGGCGTCAGGTTTCAGCCCCGCGCGGTTCCTCACGTGTTTCAGATGTTGTGCAGCAGAAGAAAAGCCACTGCTAGATGTAGCTAGAACCAGATGAGGCGGCAAACACGGTTGGGGGAGGAGACAGGGAAGATGTAGGTGGAATCAGCTTCGGGGCTGCCGTGACCACTAGTAAGTGGTTTACCGCCTAACTTCCTCCCTGGGCTCCAGGGGCCCAGTGAAATCACGAGTTAATGAAGCATCAGGCCAATTCCAAGAATTCTTCCCTGATCTTTCTGATAACAGGGAACACCCTGTCTCCACATGGCACACACCTCGGGTCTGTTCCAATGTGATAATCTCTGAACTTGCCGCCCCTGCCAGGTCAGGAGGAAGATAAGGGCTCTTCCAAGTGGGAGCACCGAGGCTGGAACCTGATACAGTCATCATTTAGAAAACCATGAAGTACAGAGAAATAGTTCAAGATTCATACCCTAAATTCCATTAGCAGGCCCGGATTTCAGAATGAGCAGCCGGAGAAGTTGCCGTGTTCAGGGTAAAACACTGTGGCTCTCCACAGAGAAAGGGTACAAGTAAGGAATCCGCATCTCCCCAGAATGTTTAAATTTATAATGAGAGTTCCATAATCTGTTGCTGAGGAAAAAAAGAAAAACACTTTCTGGATGCATTCCTAACTTTTTGAGACTGGCATTGAGGAGAACAATTCCCCTCCTTATTGCTCCTGGAGAGGTCATTAGCAGAAAGAAAATCTAGTTTTTATGTATGCTGGTATGTATTCTCCAGAGTGTAATATTTTGGGCCTGATTTTTTTTTTCTCCAGAAAAAAAAAAATGTCTTTTTACTTGAACAAATATTTGAGTGTATGTTAACCATTTTTTCCAACTTGTCAACACTATTTGTAGATGTGATTTTGTTTTAAAATCTGCAGTCAAATCTATATACAGAAGGAAAAAAAAAATCTGAATTCTCCAATCAAAACAAAAACTCTGGGGTGCTCAGGGAGCCATCATTTCCTGAATTGGAGACAGGGGTTTGGGAAAAAATTAGAAATGTCAGGCAGTGCAAGAAGTGTTCCTTCCATTATATATACTTTTTGACGTTGAGAGTTTTCAGAGCTACATTCCTCCAACAGATGTCATAAATTTTGTGTGTCAAACAATGAATGAAGCTATGTTGAGGGTTCACTAACATGAATGCAACTTTTGCCAAGTTTTTGACAAATGGGCATCGACCTAGAGGATAAGACTGGTTCCTGCTGCCTGAGACAGTTTTCTTTCCATCTGTTTCCAAGGCCATGGAGAACAAGAGTCAAGGCCATATCAGGGCCTGCCAAGGCTGATGCCCTCACTGAAATGCTGATTCAGAGCCCAACTGGAAGGAGGCTTTTAATCAAGGCCTAGAGAGTTTCGATGGCTTGCTCAAGGTCATTCAGCTAGTGGAGTTTAGCTCTCCTGCAGGACCTGGAAAGCAGAGGGGCAAGCTCTGAAACCTGCTCCACCACTCACCATGACCTTGGTTCATTGTACCATTTTGAGCGGCAGTTTCTTCAGCCTTGAGGGAGAGGGTTTGCCTCTTCACATATTCTGCACTTCTCACAAGCCTGGGAACTAAACCAAGTGGTGTGTGTTGATGCTCCTACCACCTCCAGGCCCTTTTCTGCTCCTCAGCCTGAGCCTTTTCCCCCCTCCCTGGGGGATCCTTAGGGAGACTGAAAGTAACTCTGTTCCTTTTGAAGTGAAAAATCTCCAGGACCATTCCCCCTGGAAGCCATCCGTCGCATGGCCTCCATACCACATATAAAAGCCATTCAGAATACGGTCATTGATGGGACAAATGGCCAAGACACAAATGCTCAAGTAACACTTCCAGAGTCGTTACCAACAGTGCACAGAAGGTAAAGAATGTTTCAAAGCAATAGATTCAAATTCCTTTTTTAAGCAAAACACTGGCCTTTGAAAATAAGTTTCTATTGCTGCGTTCTCGAACTGCATTTGGACATGCTAGAGAGTGGAGCGGATAGTAGGAATACACGAATACTGCCCAGGGGCCCTGAAGCAGATGTGAACGAAGGCAGGCAGCCCTGGTTCAATCTTGAGCAGCCACAGGGCAGGACAATTGCAGAACCCATGTCTCCAGAGGAAAGCTAGTGATGGCCAAACAAGCCCTTTGTGTGTGTGGCCCAGGATTGTTCTGTCTCCCAAGGGGCCTCCTGGGCCTGGGCCTGGCTGGTCCAAGGCTCCTCTGGGCGGATGCTGCAGGACCAGGGGGGGAGCGGGGGAGGGAGGGTGGTAAAAGGAAAGCACACTTCATGATGGTGAGTCCTGATCTGTTTTCAACTTTGGAATGCTAGATGCTCAGGAATTGGAATTCTTGTTCCTTAGACTCACAGATTGGATATTACACTCCCAGGGACACGCAGTAGGATGGTATAGCCCTTTGGCCTTCCAATGAGCTAGGTTTTGATGGGCTGACCACATTCTGCCTCAGCACCCCCACCCTGCACTCTGTCCCACTTCCTCTATGAAAACCATTTTTCACACAAACAATTTGCCACTAACTACTGAATCATGCTGTGGTTCTAGGACACCGTTATCTAAAGCAAGCCCTGTCACTATCCCAAAAGGGTTTAGTACTGGTGCTAAAAGCCCAGAGAGTATGTTAGAAGTGTGAACCAGCCCCCAGGGCAATAGGGTTTTTTCATTTTTGCTCTTAAGGGACTGCTACATATTATATCTCAGAACCCAGACGGGAAGTGATGAATTACTGATTTATTCAGCTTGAAGACTGCCATTCCCATGATTTGTCTTCCTCCTGTGTTCTCACAAAGTACTCCTTTCCAGAATACTCCAGAATCATCTGCCTTAGCACCTTCCCAAGAAATTAAAAAGGAACAAGTTGGAATAACTTGTCTAGGAATAGGAATATAATAAATGTAAAGAAAATGTGCCTAAGTGAAGTGTTTCTAGACCCAAATCCTGGCAAACCCGGTCACATCTCTTCATCCTTGAAAGCTCCTGTTTCTGGGCTTGTGATCTCCCCTCTCCAGCTACCATTTTTTTACTACTCTATAATCGCTTGTTCTGCTCACTTTCTCTTAAACACAGAAAGGACTCCCATATTGTCTTCTAGTAACTAGAGAGTAGATGGGAATTAAGATTATACATGACTTGGCCTCTGGGACTAAGAAACTCTACTTCCACTTAAGAAGCATGCACATCATTTTAGAAAGGAACTCTAGGTTGGGGGTTGTAGAACAATATAGAAAAAGCGTAAAATAGACTTCTTGCCCTCAAAGTCTATAGAAGAAGCAGTGCACGCACGTTTAAAAATAATAGGATGTGATTACATGGCAAACTGAGAGTAAATGATAGAGGAGTGCATTGAAAACAGGCATCATGCCTCCTTCCTGGAAGATTGTTAACCACCTAAAACTGGGCCAGCTGCGTCGTTTTCTTAGAAGTACTCCCATCGCAGGCGGTTCACGACTCACCCTGACCTCTCAAACCTTAGAAACAAGACCTCCGCTCACTTAACAAATGCCTTGGTTTTGCTCTTTACTCAGGCCACCAAGTGTTTTGTTCTTCACTGTAGTTTTCTTCTACCTGACTTTAATTGAAAA